CCTGTGTATACTAAACTTCAGTGCAGTTAAACCTGTCTATACTAAACTTCATTACAGTTAAACCTGTACATACTAAACCTCATTACAGTTAAACCTTTCTATACTAAACTTCATTACAGTTAAACCTGTCTATACTGAACTTCATTACAGCAAAACCTGTCTATACTGAACTTCATTACAGTTAAACCTGTCTATACTGAACTTCATTACAGTTAAACCTGTCTATACTGAACTTCATTACAGTTAAACCTGTCTATACTGAACTTCAGTGCAGTTAAACCTGTTTATACTGAACTTCATTACAGTTAAACCTGTTCAAGCTGAACACCATCCTAATTTATGTCGCATTTCATTGTGACGTTTTCACCAAATGAACATAATTTTGTCTACAGAGCCTGTTAAACAAAAGTGGAAACATGAAAACAAGTTGACAAAAAAATTACATAGTTTTGAGTAAAAAATTCATCTTCTAAAATTAATGATGTTCACAGTTTTATTTTTATTAACAAAGGTTGCGAAACACCAGGATACCATTGAAATTTGTGACAAATACGACAAAAGATTGCAAACGTGTACTTTACGAACAACTGAACCGATTGGGATTTGACATCAGACTTGACGAAATGTTCACATCGCTGACGGCTGCGAGGCTACTGGTCGAAGAAAGAAAACTCAGGCCATTACTGTTATTACAAGATAGTGCATTGGAAGACTTTGAAGGTATAAATACTGTACTACTGCTTCACATTTACATTTGAAGTATTGTGTTGTCCTTGTAGGAATTTTGTGTACTGTAGAATGCTTTATTTCCACTTGGGTTTTATTTTCGCTATTTTCGTTGAAGGGATGCTTCAGTGAAAATAAAATCTAGCGAATATACTTTTTTTCCTATATTTCACATTCAACTCATCAAAAATCAGTGAAAATAAATTCCATACAAAACACCCCAAAAGCCTTTTTATTTAATTCCAATAAAGTATTCTACAGTATTTGATTCAGAAGGTCAAGCCATGGCAATCCTGTAACCCTCATCTGGTCAAGTCAATATGAAAGTACATATGGCTGGCAAGTTTTGAGTCTTGGGATTTTTCCAGTTCTTAAATTAATATTCAAGTCAATTTAAAGAAGTCTGTATCTCAGAGTTAGGTTTTAGGGATATCAAGGCGTAAGCTTTGGAGTTGAAAGATCACCCATTTTCAAGGAAACAATTTGTTAAAACTGCCTTGGTGATATATGTAGGGATCATTTAGGGAAAGTGTTTGATTTTTAAAAGGGCATCAAACAACATTATTTTGTTCGTTTTTTTTTTTTTTAATTTTTTTTTTTTAATGTTTTTGTGCCAGGTGACAGTTTCGACCATTGAATGTAATTGTTGTCTCATGTGCAAATTGTAACTGCTAGTGCTGACACATAGTGCATTTTTGCCACAGAAGCCTTATTCATGTTTGTGACTGCATGACAGGGCTGTGCGGCCATCTCCCTATCAAATTGCAGTTGGATGTGCTATCCTGGCGTCAACCAGGCTTGGTTGAAAACACAAGTACCTGTGGACCCTAACCAAGGTTCTCCCATTCATTAGTGAATAAATCTGGGCCTGTATAATTGGCTTTTCCTTTAAGTCTGTGGCACACTCACCCAGGGTAGGGGTCAATCCGTTTTGGTGTTCAGCCTAAGGTAGCATTGGAAAACTTGGGTCTAGCGATCATAAGTCTGATGCAACTACCACCATGCTACTCAGTAACCTGCATCAAGACAAACTGGTAAAGCATCAATGCAATCAATTGTCTGCGATGTCAAGGTAAAGTTCAAACCCAGCAGTCTACATAATAATCCTAATTCCAAGACACATTAATTCTTAAAGCTTAAATATCAAAGCTTTAAATCTCAAAGCTATGAATCTCAAATCTATAAATCTCAAATCTATAAATCATAAATCTATAAATCTCAAATCTTTAAATCTCAAATCTATGAATCTCAAGTCTATAAATCTCAAGTCTATAAATCTCAAATCTATGAATCTCAAATCTATAAATCTCAAATCTATCAATCTCAAATCATGAATCTCAAATCTATAAATCTCCAATCTATCAATCTCAATTCTATGAATCTCAAATCTATGAATCTCAAGTCTATAAATCTCAAGTCTATAAATCTCAAATCCATGAATCTTAAATTCATGAATCTCAAATCTATAAATCTCAAATCTATGAATCTCAAATTCATAAATCTCAAATCTATAAATCATAAATCTCAAATCTATAAATATCAAATCTATAAATCTTAAGTCTGTTTTAGTATTGCTTGCTCTACAGATTTACAGTAGTGCATGTAAATTGTAAATGCTTTAGAAGATTGCAGGATGGAATTTTGTACAAATATTATTTTTTCTATTTTTTTACTTTTTCTAGAAAAATGCCATCTTAATTACTTTGATACAAGTATCAGGTACCTAGGTGGACTAAAGTATTTAATTTGAAAAGAAAAAAAATGCTGGTGCTGTGGTTAACAAGTAATATTAGTTTCAGATGCTAACCCAACTATATAAAGAGGGAGAATTGAGTCCCAAGCGACGATAACAACACACGCTAATAATGCAAAGGCTCATGGGTAGACGCTTGTTTGTAAACAATGACAGCTATGGCCATCTGATGCATGCGCAGGTGATGACTCTTTAACCTTTCATCACCTTTGTATTTTCAGGTATATCCACTGATAATCCTAATTCTGTTGTTGTGGGGTTAGCACCTGATTACTTTAACTATGATGTCATAAATAAGGTATTCAGGTAAGTCAAGTAGGTATATACACTGATAATCCTAATGCTGCCGTTGTAGGGTTAGCACCTGATTAATTCAACTATGATGTCATAAATAAGGTATTCAGGTAAGTCAAGTAGGTGTACACACTGATAATCTTAATTCTGTTGTTGTAGGACTGGCATTTGATTTTTCTTGATGGCATTAGTCAATTTTTTTGTTTCACAAATGAAGTGCCTCAGAACTGATTTAATCAGCTCAGAGTGATTTGGAAGCTCCGGGAAAAGATTTTCGATGATGAAATTGTAGATTTCTCCATTATAAATATAACAGTGTTATCAACATTTCACAATAGTGTTGTTACCATACAAATGTATGTACTACTACTAATGTTCTATGGTACCCCCCCCCTCCGCAAATCATGTTCAGACGAGGTCTCAATAAAGTTGTTTTTTTCGCAATGGGTTGTTACTGCCATGTACTCGTGGATCTCAAGGTGACAGCGGTAACACAACCTCAGAGAGATACTCTCTGCTGTATCTTATGATTTTCCCATACTGTAAAATACTTTATTTTTGCTTGGAATTAATGTTCACTATTTTCCCTGAAGGGATTATTCAGTGAAAATAAAATCCATCGAATATACCTTTTCTCCTATATTTCTCATTCAACTCGCCAAAATTCAGTGAAAATTAATTCCAGCTACAATAAAGTATTCTACAGTAATATATTTTGTTCCCTCCAAGATAGAGGGGGCTATAATTTACACATTATTCCATTCCATTCTATTCTATTTTGATAACAGGCTAGTTCTTGAAGGCAGCACTCTTATAGCTGTTCACAAAGCCAGATACTATAAAAGGAATGATGGAATGGCCCTGGGACCGGGGCCTTTCGTAGAAGCCATTGAATATGCAACAGAATCCAAAGCAGTCGTTGTGGGGAAACCCAAAAAGGGATTCTTCCTCTCAGCCTTGAAAGGAATGGAATGCAAACCACAAAATGCTGTTATGATTGGTGATGTGAGTAATATACTGTAGAATAAAAATACATTTTATTTTTTTTCCAGCATGGACCAACTGTTTGTATCTTCTTTATAATACTTGGAATTAATTTTAAATTTTTTGGATGTTTTGTATGGAATTTATTTTCACTGATTTTTGACAAGTTGAATGTAAAATATAGGAAATAAAGGTATATTCACTGGATTTTATTTTTTACTGAACTATGACTTCAGCGAAAATTAATTCCTAGCGAAATCAGAAGATTGAGACAACATTTTTGAGTAAAAACTGAAAATTGAATCATATTTTGTCTAATTAGGGCTCATTTCCAGCAATATTGAAGAACTTAAGGAAAAAAGTGCAGTAAAATTTGGGAGAAAGTCTGGTGGTGAAAAGGTTAGAGCTGAAGTAATTTTTAGAGATCACATGGGAATACAAGCGGATGATAAAAACATTTTCATTCTCAACTACATTACTTTGCTGTGATTTTTTTGAAATGAAAGTGATAAATCCATCTGGCATTGTTTTTGTTTACTCATTTGTTATCATACATCTTCATGAATAATTAATGAGATGACATAATATTTACGAAATTTCATTTCAAACGTTTTAAAGCAGGGGAGTCGTCACCTGCGCATGCGTCAGATGGCCATAGCGTGTCGTTGTTTCCAAACAAGCGTCTACCCATGAGTCTTTACATTTTTAGTGTGTGTTGCTATCGTCGCTTGGGACTCGATTGCCACATGTGCGCAGGTAACAACCCTCCCATTTTAATATTGAATTTTGCACTGGATGCATTTTGAAATTCAATTACAAATGTTTGCTAATGAGAATACTGTAGAATACTTTATTTCCACTTTTTTCGCTGAAGGAATGCTTCAGTAAAAATAAAATCTAGTGAATATAGTTTTTTTTCTATATTTCACATTCAACTCATCAAAAATCAGTGAAAATAAATTCCGTACAAAAGACCCGAAAAAACTTTTTCAGCGAAAATTAATTCCAGCGAAAATGAAGTATTTTACAGTAGCTAAGATTCACTATGTTTTTATGACAGGATGTACGAGATGATGTGGGAGGTGCGCAACAAGCAGGAATGCAAGGAATACTTGTGAAAACAGGTAACATCTTTAATATAAATCTTGTAATCTTACAGATATACTTTAAAAACATTTTTTCATTAGCTGGACGTTCCTGTTAACACCATATTGTTCCAAACACAAAAAAGCCAACATTGGCAGTCAATTATTGACTGGTTTGTTGTAGATGTCTTGAAACTGTTAATAACAGTATTTGAACAATATGGCAGTGATAGTAACAAATGTGCCAGTGAAACAATTAATTATATTTTTATTTTACATGTTCGTATGGACCTAATTTATCAAATTTCAATTATCACGAAAATTTAAATTTGTTGAAAATTTATTTACAGTATCTCCTGAAAGTACTGTAAAACATATATTTTTCTCGAGCATGTCTTTTTTTTGCAAATTTAGCGAGAGAACTGATTCGCTAACTCAAGATGTTGCTAATGATTTTATTATAAATTCAAAATGGCCAAGGCTTGGGGATTTGTATACAGTAATCAGAAACATAAAAATCTGGAGCGCTTCTTTATTACACTTGACAGTTTTTCTTTGTTTTTATGGAGTGGATAACTGCGCATTTGTTTTGGCAGGCGACAGACAAGTATTGTGAAAACCGAAAATCAACAATGACAAGAGAGATTCGCTATTACGCCATTTTACCACAATTCACTAAAATTGTCTGTCGCTTTTTCAACATGTTTTACAGTATATTTTGCTATATTGTATTTCCTCTATTAGTAGTGCAAGTTCTTATGTAAATGACAAAAGTTTGCATAAGGCCCATATAAATAACACTTACCGGTGATGAGTCAGTATACAATACTGTATTTGTTCCATTAGTGACACATGTGCTTACGAAAATGAAAGAGCTGTGGCTTATATGAGTTCCTAATAGAGCAAGCACAGTATCAATGCTGTCCTGTCAGCAATCTTTGATCTAAGTCACTACGTTGCTAGATTTATTGAAAACATGTATTGACATAAATTTCTTCTAGCTAAGGTGTTTCCTACCACATTTCATTACATTTTCTTTCATAGGCAAGTACCGGGAAAATGACGAGATGAAAATAGATCCTCCACCGACGGTGACTTGTGATGACTTCCCATCTGCTGTAGAATTAATTATTCAAAGTCTTGAGGAAGTTGTGTCATAGAAATTGCTTAAGATTTTAAGACGTGGTATGTTTGATGATACTTAATTGAAGATTCAAAAAATAGTTTACTCTCTGTTAGCCAAACAAATCTGTTTTGACTTTCATCAATTAAAAATGATCACTAATGTCAGGTGCAAGTGCAATCAAACCTGTATATAGCGACCTGTCAAACTTGTGTATAGTGACCTGTCAAATCTGTATATAGCGACCTGTCAACCTGTATATAGCGGCGACCTGTCAAACCTGTGTATAGTGACCTGTCAAACCTGTATATAGCAACCTGTCAAACCTGTGTATAGGGACCTGTCAAACCTGTGTATAGTGACCTGTCAAACCTGTATATAGCAACCTGTCAAGGCGCTTCATTAAAATAGTCTTAATAGTCAGGTGTTCTTTATATGGAGAATGGATTATTTTTGTTTACCTTGTGCAATTTTGCTGATAATGGGGATATGAATGACGAGGAGTGCTCCATGCAGAGAGCATCAAACAATGGATAACTTCCCACAATTCCCTTTGACCACATGGTAGTCCATCTATGATGCATTCAAAGGAGAGAAGCCAGAGTGTCAATCATATGTGTTTGTGACTACTGAAGCGAGGGAGTCGTCGCATACGCATGCGTCAGATGGCCACAGCGTGTCATTGTTTACAAACAAGTGTCTACCCATGAGCCTTTGCATTCTTAGCATTTGTTGTTATCGTACGGGATTCAATTCTTGCGCATGTGCAGGTGACGACCCCTCCTGCTTTAAGTATGTGTGTTTTTGTTGCTAGATCTTCAGTTTGCCCATCAAGTCAAGTATAATTATGTAATAGTTTATACAAAGTAAATTTTTTTTTAATTATTCCAATACTCTGATTTATTTGACAAATTTTATTTAAGAGAATATGAGATGGGGCTATTAAATAATTGTTTTCACTATGTAACAAATTAGTATGATATCAAAATTAGACTCAGTCGAACACAATATAAACAGAATCAGTCGATCATGATGAACACTCAGTCTAGAGCTGGTGGCAACATAAAGTTTATGTTATAGGCTTATAGCTTCCCAGTGATAGAGGGGGGGGGGTCACTTGGCTGGTTGAGGCCTAGGGATACGCATTTGAGTTAGAGTTTTGCGGAGAACGAGGTGTACTTTTCGAAGTTCGCTTGAAAATCAAAAAGGAAGTATCACTTTTTAAAAGACTTTTCCTAAAAGACTAGGTTAAGCAGGAGGACAAGACAACGTGAAAGAAAGTGTTTTGGTAGTGAAGATCATCATTCTTTGAAAGTCACACCTGAACGAAATACACCAAATTCACAGAGACGTTCAAACTGAACAACAAGTCCACAATTTATCAAAAAGGCGGGATAAATTTGTATTTAGAAAGTGGAAGCGGGATGTTTTTTGATTTTGCTGAACTCAAATACGTGTCCAATGATCTCGCGATACAATCCATATTTAAAAATCTTTGAATACCACATTTACTAATAACCTAATCTATTACGCAGTATGTTAGCTTTGTGGGATGACTAGACGATGCTGAGATTTCACGCAATTCAAACAAAGTTGACAAACAAAAAACTGGATAAAAAATTAAAAAGATCGAAATGCATAAATAAAGCCATTCTTAATTTTGTGTCAGTGTCCCTGCTTTTTATTTTAAAGTTTGTATATTAATACAATTATTTATTAAAGGG